TTTTTTTTACTTTTTTTGGTGTTCTTCCATTGCACCCTTCATATTCGTCAAACGTTAGTGCCTGCCATACTTAAAGGCATAGGAAATTCCTTCGATATTATAGTGCTCCCAATTTAAAAAAATGAGTGCCTATTATCCCTCGTGAAAATGTAAGTATGACTTCACGGAACATATGGTTATGCATACGACTGTGACTTTGAGAAGCAGATTCTGGGATAATACTTTTATTCGCCTAACGTTTCGAGATACGTCTCGGATTCGTCATCAGGGATATGATCAGAGAGCAGTAGCAGATACGACCCGTGACTGTGACTGTATGCACTTATGTCGTTATCAATATGACAAGGCCGCAGGTCATATGAAGTCATGTGAGGAAAATGTCGGCACCCTAAGGCCATTTGGCTAATTGACGTTGTCAATGGAAACAGTGGTCATTCGTGACCTCTGCATCTGATCCTCTACTTTAACGAGGCAATGTGTCACCGGCGAATACACAACATGGCGTTGGCTGCGCTTGACTGCGTACCCGAAAATTTTGACGCACTGTCTACGTCATGAATGTACCCGCCAGAATGGAATGTAGACAGGCAGGGTCGTTGGTCACATGAAACCATGTGCAAAGGCGAATGCGTTATCCTTAGAAAAAAATCTCCATATGTGCTAGAAGCTGACAGTTCGTTTTCAAGTAAGCTGATCACAATTTCAGTAGGCGTGGTTAAAGGTTCTCCATGGAAGTTTTTTTCGATAAAGATTGCCATAATTGGCAGTGAACAATTATTTTATTATTTTAGAATTTCGAGACCTTATGACGTTTGTTTTTTGCCTTGCCTTCCTTTGTTGATATGTATTGTCCTTTCCTCTAACAGGGATCCCGTGCCGATCTTTGTTCAAGCTATACCTGCAGGGCACGACTTATATAGTGATCATCGCTTTCCGGAGCACTTCAGTTTTTGGGCCACCATCGTCTTTGCGGCAACCGAGGGCATGGAGGAAGGGTAGCTGGTTGTTTTCTTCTTCCTCCATCGCTGTTTGAATGTCAGGGAAGACGGCGTTAATAATTTATTTCAATGTCAGCACCTTATCCCGATCAATAAGGACGAAGCTGTTGTCCACATACTGAGCCCAGGATGTCCGTCCGTGGTGTCAGAAATCCAGCGACTCCAACTTTAGCAAGACCGCCACGGCTGAGTCAGGAAATTGGGGAAACCGTGGGCATGCCCTTGGCCTGCTCGTAGATAGTTCTGTTGAAGATGCAGAACGTCTTGTGAAGGATAGTGATCGCATCTATTTATCCGTTATCCGTGACATCGGACCAATGCGGGTAGGTGCGAGATAAAGATTGCGATTTCAAGGCTTTAAAATAGCCTGACGTTTCGATATCCGTCGTGAATTCCTCATCAAAGACAAAAGAGGAAAGCAGGTAGCCAGCGTACAGTAAAGTGCAGTATTTAACGGACACAGGCATTACTGCACATGTTTGAAAAATAATAGCAATTAAAGATTTTTTCCCCCTCTATGTTGATCGCTTGACTACCGGCATGCGAGCCCTGATTTGGTCAGGCTTTATCACACGCGCTGAACTTCGACCTGATGACTGCTCGGTCATTTAGTTCCCGGTGTTGGCGTGCGATGACGCGTTGACATGTGCGTTTTCCGGGTGGCGAACTGTTTTAAACAAATTGAGCCTCAGCACTGAATGTGGATTGGGCAAGACGTTGCAACTACTTCTTAAATGGGGGGGGCGCGTGAGCCATGACTCCAGTGATTTTCGGCTCACCCCTCTGACGAAGTAGTACTCGGTCCGCAGTTTTGGAGACTACGCTATCTGTTTCTTCACCAAAATGTGTCAATCAATTATTCCCACAGGCAGAATAGAGCCTAATACAGTTTTATAGGTACACAATTTGTAATGGCCATGCATTGGCAAAAATAACTTTGCAAATCCCACTACTTAGTACGGACGCCTATATTTCTTTGAGAAAACGGACTTTCAGAAGAATATCTGACGAGCATACGTAGCTTTCGAGGAATTATTTTCAAGCCATAACATTAATATAGAGAGGGGGTAAAGTAAAATACCGGCACTTATGCTCATAATAACAGGCAAGTTAATCATGGGAAGAATACAAGGGTGAGGTTTATAGCACTCATTTACTTGCTCCTGTGGAGCAGGTTATATGGTTCACTTTATTTGGCGCTCATCCAAAAGAATGCGGAGCACCTCCCTGCATGGCTGATGCAAGTCGAAGTCAGAAGCACTAAAAGCTCCATCTTTGCCCACATTGTTGACTCCAGATATCTTGTGGGCACCGGCGAAGTCTTTAAGGTAAGTAACACGGTTCTGCCAAGCTACACAAAGTCTCTGGTTCAGAATTTGCTAGCGACAGCAGAGGAGACCACGATCCGGTCGCGGAAGCCAGTTTTGTGCGTGCAAGGGAACATTCTGCAAGTCCCCAGTTTGGCATGGCTAAGGGTTACATAACCACCTGCTTCTTTTCGCAATTTCTTCACTTCCTAACCCTCCCCCACCACTCGTGATTCAACAAACCCACATTGCCTCGCAAACAGCCGAGGTCTATTAGGCCAACAGTAACTTGCCTGTAACGATGAACATAATTTTCAGCAAGCTACTTTTTACCCTCTACTTATATAGATGTAGTGGCACGAAATGAATTTATCTAAAGCTACGAATGCTCGCCAGATATTCCTCTGAACTCTCTGATGGGCATTTCCCAACTTTAACACAGAGTTTGACACGTCTGACACGTTTGTTTTCGAAAGCCTGTTGTCAAACTGTAGGACTCCATTAGTTCCTATAAGACCGAGGAAGCTTTACACTGCTTAAGTTCTGCAAATATTTCCATGTTTAAGGTGGAAGATTTATTCGGTAAACACATCTTTTCAGCAACGCATCATCAAGCCTGTACAAGTGCAGGGAGAATGCAAATCGTACAGCTGTTCAGGATTAAGGAGCGTCCTTCAATTACAGCTCATCGTGTTCACGCCATCCGCACGGCGAAATCAGCGTTTACAGATTCATGCGCAGAGGATTAAGGAGGGTTGGAAATAAGGATTCCTAAAGTTAGATACCAGGCTTGCCGAGGCAGACATAGAAGCCAAATTCGTATGGGGATGTATGGATTGGTGTGCATATCTGAGGCATTACAGACAAACCTTACAAAGAAATCCTATCGTCGTTTCGTCATCGACGCTAGGGCGACGCGCAGAAAGTTATAATACGGCGGAATTCAGTGGAAGCTGGATCAGGGAGCATCGTTCCCTGACCGCCTAGAAAATCTCGAGAGATAGGTGGTTGACCGGTTGAAATGTCATAGGCTTTCACTGATGCACTACCCTGCAGACGCCTACCCTGTAGAGGTTCGCGGGGTATTCTTGTTCAAGTCTTTTTCGTGACGCACACTGATATCACAGGACACGTGGTTTTTGACACAACGTACGTATGACGAACACAAAAGGAGATACCGCACCAATGACAGCGGGGTAAGCATACTGACCTTCACACATGCAATCACGCTAGATTTCGGTGGGCGGCTTTCCGTACTTGGTATTCGTTGATTGCTTCGGTCCTTTATGCTGTGCATACAATTGTTGAGCTTACTCGAAGAGCACATAACCTATAAATATTGTGTATACTGAATCGGCTCATTATACTACCTGCGGACGTAAAGGTGAGTTATGAACTGTTTATGTAGGATTGCATTATTACGAAAATCAAATCACAATAAGTGTAATCGTATCCACAGAAGCAAGCTACACTTCATTCTTTGTCTTAAAAGAATATAAATTCTCTACTAATAATATCATGTGGTTTTTGCAGGAGATGTTCTCAAACTTGCTGCTTATACTTGCTTAAGCAGCATGAAATACTTTGAAGAGGACGTTCTTTGGTATAAAAAGTTACTTAAATGAGTTCAAATTTCGAGTTTGGTGCTCCAACTTGTCTTCGAACTAATAGGAAAAATACAATGAACAACTAGAATTTCGAAACTGCTGAAAAAAACCAATAGTTATATAGGGTGAGACGTGATTGGTGGGTTTGGCCTCACTTAGTGTCTGCCTTTGTCTTTGCCATCATTCTTTGACGTTTCTTTGACATTTTAGGTGTTTGCTGCATTTTTTTTCTGTTAGTCCAAAGGCAAGTTAGGGTGCCAAATCTGAAAATTCACTCAGTAAAGCAACGTTTTATCCCAAAGAACATCTCCGTCAAAGTAGAATTTCTTGGGATTCTTGTGTTCGAATTTATACGAATGATATATTTTAATTAAAGCATTAAGGAATGTATACTAAGATAGTACTAAATGCTCATTCAATGCACTTTCTGAAACTTGTTGATACTGCTTACAGTTTTCATCGGTGTGCATTATTTTGGCGACGAAGGCAATTAACGTTTTTCTTATGGTGTAGCTGATGATTACAGCCGACAGACATCAGATAACATGACTTTCAACGAACTAGCTTTTATGCCTTTCCGTTAATAAATAAAGAAATGGGTTGCTTAATCAGTGTGCTCTCCCCTATGCTTTAGGATCATCAATGGCGTCGAGCGACTCCGATGATTGGTCACATTTTTGCGCTGTCTTTTCCTGTGTCATTTTTGTCCTGCTGGGAGTAGCCGGTGTGGTTGCCGGATCCGTCCTCATCGCACAAAATCCCCTACCGTACGGTACTTCCTGGTGGTATGGCGAAAACAGTACGTGGAACAGCTGGTGGAACGAACCCTACAGCGAGCAATGGTACGTAACTATTACCTAATATTGCTTCAGTTTGAAGTACTACCTTAAGAATATGGTTTTGCCAAAATAAGTTAATGCTATGATTGGTCGTGAGAAAGCTACTCACTCAGTGCTTAAAAAAGCGAATGGAGTGGGGCACCTTAATCGAGTGCACAGTATGTAGGTTTTCGCATGCAACAGCATTTTACGCAATGATGTTTTCAGCAGTTTAGCACCTATATACTGCGGCATAAAAGTGTGAAATATGGATTAGGAAGTATTTACCACAGGTTGTGAGATGTATGCCAATCATGCAATTTGCCTTTTTTCGTCTTTATTTTTCAGGTATTATGGATGGGGAGTGACCATACTTGTGTGCGGACTAATTCTCCTGGTTTGTTCTATCGGCCTCGGGGCCTGTGCAATGTATACCGAACCCAAACCCGAACCCGAGGGTCCTGCTCATCCAAATGAACCCGGATCGTATGTACCTTATCCAAGCACGTCAAAGGTGGGTGAATTAGAAATAACCAATTTTATTCACATATGCCTAAGCGGATATCCTAACGCATCACTGAACAAACCACGCATCATATTTTTGCTTTAAATCGGATGAAAAAGGTTTTTCCTTTTTTTTATTTTTAGGCCGGGCCGCCGCCACCATATAAAGGATAAATCGAAACCAAGTATTTTGGGCGGGCTCCGGATATAGCGAGTTCACAATCCACATAAAACAAAGCTCGCCATTTTGCTGGGACCTTGAATGCAGCCTACAGACAATCATTAGCAACAACACTAGTGACCCTTCCGCGTAACTGGCCCTCTTTTATCGACCCCTCCCCCTGTTCCCAAGACTCAAATGCATGAAATGACAAATATGTTTTAATTTGTACCCCATTTCCATATGAATATAGTGGCGCGAAGAGGATTTATCGAAAATGTATGTTTGCTCGCGGAATAGCCTCTGGACTTATTGTATGTACATCTTAATAAAAACATTGACAATTTTGTTGGTTTAATTAAAATTCGTGAATTTTTACGTAAGTGTCATGAAGGAACATTACAAATTAAATGATCCCGTAGTGTTCAAGACGCTTAATGACTGCATCCTTTAGAACACCCGCCTTTTCTAAGCGAATGTAACTGGTGAATTCATCCCACACTGCACAGTTATATGGGTAGATCCATATGTACACTGGAGGTCTCCTCTAGGAGCCGGACGATAATCTCGAATATCTTAAGGAGATACGCTGAGAATCGACCTGCACCGAGGCAATAAAATGTAAGATTACTTAGCTGATGAAAAAGGAAGGCACATTAAACAGCTAGTTTCAAACCTTGAATCAAGGACGTCTGGAAGTGAAAAATTTAAAACTTCCTCACAGTGTCAACCCAATGGCGATTCACACATCTTTTTTAAATGTTCCGGAGCGATACGCACATAATTCACCTAACCTGACTTTCTAAAACACCAGCTAAAAATAATATCCCTTGTTATAATCCTGCTAACCGGAATAAATTCGTACATTTGCTGACGTTTCGGACAGCTGGGACGGCTGTCCTTTGTCAAAGCGAATACTGGCTTTTAACGATCAGCAAATTTAAAGTTGCAGTTGCATATGTTGGCCTCCGGCTGATAAATAATTCTCCGTTCGCTGTCTGGCCTTGCGTGTGGATTTTGGCTTGGCGTGACGGCAAATGGTGGTCTGTTCTGTCCTCACGATAGAGGATGCTGGTAATAGTGCTTATTCTCCTTCCGGTGGTTTCGTCGTAGGGCGTCTTCGTTTGCAAATCCTGATCTCGGTTTGAGCATGCTCTGTCTTTTAATTACGTAATGACGCAGGACCGCAGGGAGATCCAGAGGTCAACAGGCATCTGGACCTCTCTGCGGCGTTCGAGTTAGTATAATATTTGATGTAAAAATTTGTAGGATTGTATTTCGCAAGAAGATGTGCACAAGACATGTATTTGGATAATTACTTTAGCCGAATTAATATCTGCCGGGGTTTCATCCATCTGGTGAGCCATAATTCAGTTTGGCTAATTTACGCAAGCAATACGCCATGCATGTGCCTGTCAGTATGGAATTCAGTTATTCAGGATCGGTGGTCACATGAAAGCACATGCAATGCTTTACTGTAGGTAAAATATGCTAACGAGTTAAACGCTCACAGTTCGTTTTCACTTATGTTGATCGCAATTGTAATAAGCCCGGTTAAAATTTTACCGTAAAAGCCGTTATTACGATAGACCACATGAAAGATGCTATACTTTGCATTGAATAATTATTTCGCTTTGTTAGAGTTTCAAGACCCCACAGCGATTGCTAGATGCCCTCGCTTTCACTGATTTTTAGTTTTCCTATCATATATCTGGGATCCATTATAGATTCCTGGAGACATTTGACGCTACTTTATGTTTTATTCCCGTTTAATTACTGTCCTTGATGAAACTGTGAAAAATGACATTTAGTGTGAAGGTTTCGCGGGCATGGTCGCGTGGTATCTAACCAAGTTATCAACCGCAGTCGGAAGCCAGAATCATCAAGTAATCGGAAATGTACGCTAACCTGTCACGTTAACACGTTGTTTGTTTAAATTGGCCATTACACAAAACCCCGAGGGCACTTGCTCCAGTGAATGTTATACCTGCAGCCATTTGTGCTACTTGAACTTTGAAGGAATTTCCTCCTATAATTGCAGTCCTCAATGAGAATGTGACAACTAATATTTAACCTTGTGGCCCATGCCGCATGCTATCTAACGAAAGTATAGATTTCAGTCTGCCGAACTACAGAATATTAAAAATAATTTTGAAGAAAAAAGCACCGAGTGATCCCGAAAGCCCATCATTCTGCCTTTTTTCTACCTTGTTTATATAAATCACACCGAGATCTGACGGCAGATGTTAAAGTGTTTACCAATTATGGGCATAGAAACAGGACCCCTGGCGCGAAAGCTGTATCGCATTTCGTCCCCAGTTGAGTTAAAGTTCCAAACTGTATGTCAGAGGTGCACTTGTGCATAATATTCTTCCCAGATTTTCAAAGATAAATGCAACTGGTGTGGCGCTTGCCCGATTGGCTAAGTTTTACGACATGTAGTTGCCATGCGTCTGAATGTCTGCTCAACGTATTGCCCCAGAGGTCTCCGAATTTGGCTAACTTTAGTTGAATAATTTTCAATAGTTTTCTT